CATATAGTCAAACTCACGGTTTATTACAGCAAAAGGATACAAAGCAAAACCAGGAGAGGGAAAAAGGTACATGAGATGAAGTCCACAGGAAGCTGGGCACAAGTTTCCAAGAATCCTCTACCAGTGGAGTCACACAGGATATGAGTGATTCCTCCAAGAATTAGCACATGTGATAACATATATGAAATGCTGTCTACCGGGGAAATTCATTGGAGACTCCGTGCTCACTTTTTTCGTAGGGGTTGGTCACCCCCTGTCTAGCATATAACAAAATTCCAGACTTCCAGAAGGAAAGCAGGTATTCAAAGTAAACCACATTGTTTGCAGAAACAGTTTGGGCACAGTGAGCCTCACTTATCAGTTAGATGATGGTACAGACACTCCTAAAATCCAAGTTCCCAGATGCCAGCCAAGGGCCAAGCTTATAAGCAGGCTTTCCTTTTTAAAAAAAAAAAAAAAAAAAAGAATTTATTTATTTTAGGGGGGAGGGGCAAAGGGAGAGGGAGGGAGAGAATCTCAAGCAGGCTCCACCTCTGAGCACAAGCCCAGCTCGGGGTTCCAACCCACGACTGTGAGACCGTGACCTGAGCCAAAATCAAGTTGGATGCTTAACTGACTGAGCCACATAAGCATGCTTTTCTAAGGATAGCAAACTTTTTCTGCATAGGAATATACTGAAAATATTATTTTTGATTAAAAAAATCTCACTTTCAGATTTTTTTAGCAAATAGTGTGAAATACAGCAGAGTTACATACACTAAGTTCATCACAGTATTGTTTAAATTCATGAAAAAAGGGGCACCTGGGTGGCTCAGTTGTTAAGAGTCTGCCTTTGGCTCAAGTCATGGTCCCAGACCCAGCCCCACCCGCATCAGGCTCCCTGCTCAGCGGGAAGCCTGCTTCTCCCTCTCCCACTCCCTCTCCCCTTTCTTGTGTTCCCTCTCTCTCTCTCTGTCAAATAAATAAATAAAATCTTAAAAAAAAAATAAAGTCATGAAAAAAAAGAAAACAGAGTATCCAAAAATTGTGGAATGGTTCAGTAAATTATAGTATAGTAGTAGGGAGAAATATTAAACAGCCATTAAAATTAAATTTTGAAGACTTTTATTTTACTTTTTAAAGATTTTATTTATTTGTCAGAGAGAGAGCAACAAGCAGGGGAAGCGGCAGGCAGAGGGAGAGGGAGAAGCAGGCTTCCCGCTGAGCAGGGAGCCCGATGCAGGACTCCAACCCAGGACCCTGGGATCATGACCTGAGCTGAAGGCAGATGCTTAACTGACAATTTTGAAGACTTTTAATAACAATTTTGAAGACTTTTAATAACAAATCCTGGGGAATAAATCAGAACAAAAACTTTTATAGAATAATAACTCTAAAATGGTAGAAATACAGAATGAAATCTAGAAGGAAATACACTGAAGTATAATCATGATTCATTTCTGGGGGATGGCTTATGTAAAATAATTTTTATTTTCCTCTCGACCTTTTACTATGCTTTCAATTTTTATTTAATGAACATGCAGTTACTTTTCTAATTAGAAACAAGGTATAAGATGATTACGTTAAAAAGATTTTAGATATAAAGGTCTGTGCAAAATATTTAGTGCATACAGTGAGCAACATGAATACAATGTACAAGGCAGAACTTGACTGGGGAATTCTTAGAATGGTAAACAACCACTGCATTTAAAAGGCAATTTTTCTATTTAATCTGCTTTTTTTCAATTAGCTAACAACAAAAACAGGTAGAGGGAGGGGAAAAATTACAAACACTAAAGAAAGCACAAGGAAAAAATGGCTCACACACTAGCAAACACAAAAATAAAAATGTTATTTTTCTTTTCTTTTTTTTAAAGATTTTATTTATTTACCCAACAGAGAGAGACACAGAGAGAAAGGGAACACAAGCAGAGGGAGTGGGAGAGGGAGAAGCAGGCCCCCTGCCGAGCAGGGAGCTGGATGTGGGGCTCGATCCCAGGACCCTGGGAACATGACCTGAGTCTAAGGCAGACGCTTAACAACTGAGCCACCCAGGCACCCCAAAAATGTTATTTTTCAATGGCTAGAACAAAGGATGAATTTCCAAAATTACTTCGAATGTTTACATTATCACAATTTACCTATGATCTGTCAAGTATTCCTGACAGAAGTCACCTCAATTTTCATAGTTTAAAGGAGGATTAGGTAATTACTCTACAAACTCCCGGAGAAGGTGGTTTTGAACATGTTCAGTTATAATTCCCCTCCATTTGCTTTTAAAGCATCTACCCTGGTCACAGAGCTATGACTCCACAGAGCTATTTTTGTACTACCCAGGTTCTCCATCACTGCATTAAGTAGCCATATAGAAAACAGACTGCTATTGTGTTCTCTTCTCCCTAGGGAGATGAAATGGTTTGCAGCTGATTTTAAATCACAAAGCAATTCTTTTGTGTGCCGAATTGGCCCACGGCTACGGAGGTTGTGCCACTTACTTCCCACATGACCTCCACTTGCGGCTGCTTCCCAATCGAGCCAGAACAGGAAAACCTTGAAGGCTCTCCATGTGGGGCAGTGCTCTCTCTGCCTCAGAAGTGAGTTCTGGGCCAAGTCCGAAAACCCAAATTCTGAACTGCCATCGCAATGGCCAGCACACTTAAGAGGCCGGGGAAAAAAGCCAGAATTTTTCTGGTTAGGAAGGGAAATGTGGTTAACCTAAATTGGACCTGGGGCACAAACGGAGGCATCGAGAAGCTCTCCCACAGCTTTGGTTCAACTATGCATTCTGCTTCCGTTATAAAACAAAACAAAACTAAGTAGAAAAAACACAAAACCAAAACAGCTCTTTAAATGGTTTGGCTATATTCAGAAACGTAATTGCTTAAAGAAGGTCTCTAGAGCTTGAAAGGGCTGCGTTTGAGGGGCTGGTAGGGAAAGACGGCAGATGAACAAAGCATTATTACGGATTCTTTTGAGTGAAATTAGCTAATCAAAGTCAGCAATCAGTGCTTGCTAAGTGGCAGTACACGTATGATCAACAGTCCTTCAAAGACTTTTGTTGCTTCCTCTTTTCTCTCTCCCAGGAAGAAACAGATTATGTGGGACTTGGGAGTCAAAAAACCTGGGTTCAGATCATGTCACTGTGAAACATGCATCAACAAATAGTTTCCAGACACTCTGCTTTCCTGCCATTTATCATCCCTGAATTTCAGGCTTTTCCTCTCTAATATGGGCATACCAACACATGTCACCCTTTTCATGGGTGATTGGATAGAAAGAGAGTATAAGCACACTATAAAGTGCTATCTGAGCATTTATTATTGTTGTTGCTGTGAGGTCTGCCTGACATATAGAAAGTACGTAACAAATGTTCACAAAATTATTAACAAATTAGGCTAATTATAGTGGATAAAGAATAAGAGCGAATAAATAATAAATCAAGAACCCTAAAACCAGTAATAACACTTTTACTTAAAAATTATGTTACTTAACTGTAAACTATTAATACCTTACATGGACCTAAGCTGAACACCTTGGAACTATCCCAGGGGAGAGCAATGCTTCAACCACCAGAAGAGGTCACTATAATCATCATACATGGTGGGATCTCAGGTATGGCACAGGGAGGCTAACAAATCGGGTTTCATTAACGTACAGAGGCAAAAAATGAGAGGTGAAGAGTCTGAGCTCTGAGGTTCAAATCTCAGCTAACAAATGGTATGACTGTGGGCAAATATTTAATCTTTTCTAAACCTCAGTTTTCACATACATAAAATGGGGAAATGGGGAAGCAGTAGTATCTGCTAGCAGGATTTCTGTGAAGATGAAATGAAGAAACACAGATGAATCACTTACCATGGTGTTATGTGCTCAGCTATCATCTTCGTTATACTATATATGAGGCAACTTTTTACAAGTGGAACTAGACCAGGAATCCTCCATTTTACAGTCTGCTATTAACCCTTAGCTATGGTAGTGAAGTTTGCTAGGTTTTTGAAAAATGCAACAAAGGGGGACCCACTGTGGTCGTATATCCTGATAGACCCCCACATAGCACTATGCTGCTTAGGTGAAGCTAGATATGCCTACTGGGAACTGTGGTTCCTTGAACCAAATGTTAGCAGACGTTCAAGGTACAATTCTTCATATATTACTATCCATTCTCTGAACCACCCAGAGTCCCTGGGTTATACTTCTAAATTTCTTATCCAAGTTGCTCATGCCCTATGTTTCATTTACAGTAAAATCTCTCTCTTTTTTCAAATGGAAATGTCAAAAAGCCTAAGATGTGCATATGTGCATATTTTCTCTAATTTGCAGTGAGTGAAATCTTGCTAATACAGATGCTAAAGAAGTTAGAATAATGAAACACTAAGATAGGAATCCCGTATAACAGTATATACCATGTTAAATGATGGTGGTGGTCAATGAGGCAATTGCTTCACATTCAGTATCCTACTGAATGAAATAATTGCATTTTAAAGAAATAAAACCTAACCCGTAAGATGTCCTGTTAAATGAGTCAAAAACCCTTAATTCTAGATCTATATAATTAATGAAAATGATCCGATTGCACAACCATCCTACTTCTTATCACAGAGAATTTCATAATGCAGTAAATTCTGGATCTTGGATATAAAAGACCTTCCTGCCTCATGCCCCTCAAAAGTCGTCTTCTTCAGACCATGTCCACTCTGCGGGGACATGGGAGGCCCCTTCCCCTGGGGGCAAGGCTGAGGCAGGCTGCCCTGCCTGCCTGGTGACAGTGCTACCAGCCAGCCAGCAGCATCCTGGAGTCTACTGGGCTGTGAATCCAGCCAGAGGATAAGAGGTTGTTTTAATTGGCCAAATCTGCTATGTACTAAGCGTATGGCCATGAATTTGTAGCCAATACACTAATCTAAAAAAAAATGTCATGTACAATTTAAACATAAAACAAGAAGGACATTTTCGCTCATCATTTCTAGTTTCACCACAAGGGTTTTTAACTTAACATTTTAGAATGAATACCAAATCCTTACCTTTGCTAAAGCAGAATTTTCATGGTATACTCCTTGTACCAAGTCCATAAGAGCACTTGCTAAAAGTTCCACAACCTAAAAAACAATAAAAAACATTAAGAGAAACAATTATACAATTTTTGCCCTCATTTCTACCTCAGAATGCCTCAGAAGGCTTAGTAGCAAGGCAATATTTTGTGCTTGATGGAAAAAATGGGGTTATATACAAAGATCCTGGCAAATGGCTCTGCCCACCTGGATATTAGAGCTGTGATCCAATTTTTTTTCAGGCATAATTCAAGAAAAAAAAAACCTTACAAGCATAGCATTGAACTTAATATACATGAAAATCCAGTAATAGCCATTTTGAACATAAGCTTAAATTTCAGATACCTAATGAAATCTTAATTCGATTTATTTTCTGTATGTTTATTTCTGTCAGGTGGATACTTTTTCAATATCTCCATTCTGGGAGTCATTATAATGCTAATTTTCATACTTAATACAGAAAGAAAAGCAAAAGCAAAAGAATGGTTAACCTTTCAAATGTGTTCATTCTGTTGTACTTAAAATGCACTGTGGATATATTTGGTGTAGGGCCCCTGGGTCAAAGGTACCATGAACATTGAAAATTTTTACAGAACTGCAATAGTGAAATCATATTCATCAAATATGTATTATTTCCAAGGCTCAGGCTATTAAAAAAAAAAATCAAGCAAAATCAAAAGCTTTGATCTTGTTCCAGAATGTAAAACAAGCAGAAAATAGGACGCCTGGGTGGCTCAGTTGGTTAAGCGACTGCCTTCAGCTCAGGTCATGATCCTGGAGTCCCGGGATCGAGTCCCACATCGGGCTCCCTGCTCAGCAGGGAGTCTGCTTCTCCCTCTGACCCTCTTCCCTCTTGTGCTTTCTATCTCTCATTCTCTCTCTCTCTCAAATAAATAAATAAAATCTTAAAAAAAAAACAAGCAGAAAACAGTCTCTTTGGAACTACTGTACAATTTAGAGTTGTTTGCATAAACCACCTTAATTCGGGAGAATAGAATAGTGGTATTTGCTTTAATGTTCAATGCAGTTGTTTCAAACAGGAATTCCTAAAGCAGCCCCAACCGCTTCTTATGTCTTAATATCTTGTATGTTTAGCTTCCGATATTATGCAGTTCCCGTATCTGATTCCCACTCTCTGCTTCCTAAAATTTAGCTCAGTTCTGATTGAATTAAAGGATTCTGTTTCAGCTTTTATCATTCTTGTAATTGAAGACATTATTAAGCCAAAGGATACAGACCCAAACAACAAGATACTTTAATCTCAGGTACCCTAGACTTAATAAACATTTTCTTAGAGGCAAATTATATTAATTTGTGGGAAGACTTGATTTAAAATTTTAACACATGGTCATTTATCTCCAAATTTATATTTCCATTCATACTGTATAACACAGACAAGGTTGCTGATATGGAAATTTTGCTGATTAAAGGCTTTTTTTTTTTTTCCTAGCTCTGCGGATGGGTTAATTTGTAAGACCTATACAAAGTCTTTTTTTTTTTTAATCACATTGCCCTTTAGGTAACCAAATACTTAAGAAATATTGTAGCAATATGAGCTGTAGAGGAACTAGAAGGACAATGATCCTACAGTGTTACCAGATGTGTTGAGTTATTTAAGTGGGGAAGAAAGAAAATGAATGGATTTTTTTCCCCCGAAGGTATCAGATAAGCCCTATTCCCAAATCCAGGAGGATAGAGTATCGCCAATAGGTCTATGAAAGATTGTAACTAAATGCACAGCACCAGATTGGATTACAGTTTATACAAGCAACATCCCAAGATCCCCCTGATGGCTGGACATGTAATACAGATCAATCACTCACTAAGAAATGTTATGGTTTTGAAACAGTTTGAGCTCTGAGACCAGCTCTGGTAAAGTACAGAGGGATTTATAAAGAGAAAGTCCAACACTCAGTGTCAAAATGATGGCATGAACTTTTAACAATGGCTCTGGATAACTAGACTATGCCTTTACTTCCTTGAAATTCCAGACCAGGCAGAAGCAACAGAAACATTTTATTCTCTCACTCTTTTTCTCTTTAATGTAATTAGCAAATATAGACAGACCTGCACTTACAAGTTCATCATTTATAAATGACCCATACTTCCAAATAAGCCTTACTTATTTGAGCAGGATACACCTCCAAAGCCAATGACGACCACTGAGGAAAAAGCTTTGGAGTTCCTTGGGTTAACAAGTCGAGGAAGGTAAGAAATTATGAAAAGCAGGAATAGCCTAGGGGAGCTGAATGTTTCCCAGGCATGGGTGACTTACTCGGTGTACATGTAAATCTCTTTCCATTGCCTGAAATGTTGACTTTACTTTTAAAATTATACAAAAGAGAGATTTGTTTATCATCCTCCTGTAAAATTGTAATATTTCTAGAAAGACCACAGGACTACCAGCTACACATACTTTAACAAGACCAGTTAGTGATCTGAACCTTTTTCAATATATGGCTTACTAACATAGGCATTCACCTGTTTTGACACATGATGTACTTAAATATAAGAAAGCACCTGTGTTTTTTTTTTAAGATTTTTATTTATTTATTTGACAGAGAGCAAAGTAGGCAGAGCGGTAGGCAGAGGGAGAGGGAGAAGCAGGTTCCCCAGTGAGCAGAATCCGATGCAGGGCTTGATCCCAAGACCCTGGGATCATGACCTGAGCCGAAGGCAGACACTTAACTGACTGAGACACCCAGGCGCCCCAGAAAACACCTGCTTAATGATACTTTTCTCCTTCAGATTCTTGTGGAGTGATTTGTTCCAGCAACCAAATGGTAGCAAGGATAGTGGCAGCCAGAGAATCCAGAAGCCTAATTGCCAGATCTCCTGGGACTAAGGGGCCAAGCCCCCCACTTCTTGGTGCTCTAGATAAGATTCAAGGACTTCTGTTTCTCAGGCCCAGGGGGGACAAGCAAATTCTTTTTCTTTCTTTCTTTCTTCCTTTCTTCCTTTCTTCCTTTCTTTCTCTTAGATTTTATTTATTCATTTGCGATAGAGAGAGAAGAGAGAGCACGAGCAGGGGGGGAGAGGCAGAGGGAGAAGCAGATTCCCCGCTGAGCTGGGAGCCTGACGTGGGGTTCAATCCCAGGACCCAGAGATCATGACCTGAGCCGAAGGCAGACGTTTAACTATCTGAGCAACCCAGGCGCCTCACAAATACTTTCTACTACAAAAAAGAAGATAGACTAAAAGAGCGTCAGTGTTAGCCACTCTTGGGAGCCCAACAAATTAGAGGACTGTAATGAAACAGAGCAGAGCATTAGGAGCCAGGGAATCTAGATTCCACTTCAAGGCTTACTACTAATTCCATTGTGAGATCTGGTGCAAACCGATTAATTTCTCTGAGTTTGGGGTTTTCTCAAATATAAAATGAGGGAAGTTGCAAAACATAACTCTTTAAGGTCCCTTCCGATTCTGATTCAGAGCTTCTAGAAATGCAAATTTTAGTATTTATAATTTGGCATGTAAACTTGAAAACTGCTTTTTTGTAAACTTTGAAGAGTCATTTCTGCTCCGATTTTTATTATTATTTTTAAAGATTTTATTTATTTGGGTGCCTGGGTGGCTCAGTTGGTGAAGCGACTGCCTTCGGCTCAGGTCATGATCCCGGAGTCCCGGGATCGAGTCCCGCATCGGGCTCCCTGCTCGGCGGGGAGTCTGCTTCTCCCTCTGACCCTCACCCCGCCATGTGCTTTCTCTCTCTCTCATTCTATCTGTCTCAAATAAATAAAATCTTTTTTAAAAAAAAGATTTTATTTATTTATTTGACAGAGAGACACAGCAAGAGAGGGAACACAAGCAGGGGGAGTGGGAGAGGGAGAAGCAGGCTTCCTGCTGAGCAGGGAGCCCGATGTGGGGCTCGATCCCAGGACCCTGGGACCATGACCTGAGCCGAAGGCAGACGCTTAACGACTGAGCCACCCAGGCGCCCCCAGATTATTACTTTTATCTGTTCTCTTTACATGGACCTTTCTATCTGAATTCTGATTACTTTGTGAAAGTGTTTGTACCCAGTCCCCCTTGGTTTCAATACCTAGAATCATAATGATATATAATGGAAACAATTTCCATTTTCTGAACCATTTCCATTTTTTAAACCATTACAACTGGTAGCCCACCCCACCAGCTTACAAAAACGTCCTCCACGGGTCAATTAAAGGTCAACATTGCTGAGTTCTGGGTCTTGACTGGCTCTAATGCTTGGGAAGAATTTATACTATCAGATTCAGAATGATATCAGGTTTAAGTGCAAAGGTGAGTCAAACAAATAATGGCTCTAGTTAGCTGCATTGCTTCCTCTCTACTGAGTAAATACATAGAACACGTTGAAGAGAATCTGTCACCATTCATGTTGTAAAGTTTACTTTAGCTGTCTAGAGAGTAATCAAATAGGAGGTAAGTTTTTTTATTTTCTGCATTTCCGGAGGGTGCAAGAATGGCAGAATTGCTTACCTGCACGTGTAGTACAAAAATGCTTTTCTCTCCAATTTGTCCTGTTGAAATCTGACTGTACAGCAATGTTGTATACTCTTCCCCCCATCTTCTGAGTAACACCCTAGATTTCAGTGAGCCAGAAGTGGTAACTGTTCAGACTGTCAATGGGATGAGCTGGCTTCTTGGGCCACCTTGTATGCAATAAATTTATTATTATTATTTTATTGAGGTGTAATTGATGGAATGAATTTCTTAAACGGTTAATTTAGAGGACAAATTTCATCAGTCTCAGGGGAATATGTAATTGCTTCATTCTTTATCTTTTGGCAAGGGTAACTACAATTCAAAGATTTTTCTTAACTGAAAAGCAAAAGCGATACATATGTACTTACAAGAGGTGTTGTGGTGATTATGCCCTGAGCTGACTAAAATTCTTATCATAAAAAATAGGAATTGGGAGAAGTAGGGACGGTAAGAGAACAATAACCAAATAACATCCTCACACTGCTATACAAGGATATCTGTAATGTCTTAAGGAAAAGAAAAAAGCTGGCTACAAAACAGAATAGCACGATAGGAATTTTTAAAACAAAATGAGGTCAATC